GAGAGGCTGTCAGGATTTTATGTTACCTTGGAAACAAGCACTGGTGTGGTTAAGAAACCTAAGACTGTGCCCAATCCCCTCATGTTTTAAATGCCCCCTTTATAAATCTTCTGCATGAAACTAATACATTCAGTAAATCTGCCCAACAATCAAGTCAAGAAGAGTGGACAAATAGCATTCTTGATACATAAAATAATTATTTTATATCTATCTATATCTATCTATATCTATATATATCTAGATATATATTTATATATATATATCTATATATATATAGATCTATATATATCTATATATATTGCCTAGCCTATTTTATATTTTGGAACCCTTCTTTTCAAGATTATCGGTAAATCCTTTTTTCGCACTCACACGGTAAAACTGTATTTTTTTTTTCTTTCCAAAGCACACTATTTGGATTTTGTCGGGCCTACTTGTCCTTTTTTGACTCTTCGGCCTTGCTTTTTCGTAGATAGCACACACGCCCTTATAGTGAATAAACTGGTGTACCTTCATTTTCGTGCCGGGGAAAATCTGATTGACCGAGTTTGGGAATTTGGCAGACTGCGCTGCGCCATGCTAGGCGCTCCAGCGGACTGATGGTGTTGTTTTTTTACACGGCCACGGTACACGTGACAATTTGGTGACAAAAAGTCACCGAGGCATTAGACACCAGAATAAAAATACAGTCTAAATTGTGGTGTGGGTGCTGCAATGCGATTTTAGTGAATTTGATCGAGGCATAGGCATAAAGATTATACGGTATGTGTTCGGTTAATGTGTAGTTGATGTAATCGTATTTCATTCATAAATATGACAAGAGCATGTATTGAACCCTCTGAATCATTATAGAAATCAATTCATTTAATGATTTATTGTCTTTAATATATTCATAAACTCTGACCCACTGAACGGCGCACAGATATGTGAGGGTGGGAGGTGTCATACATGGACACTAACAATTGGAGCGTAAGGTGTTCCACAAGTGCCCAACTCACATCATACGCAAGGATATTGCTTTTTGCTTGTTTTGTGCTTGCATATATATTAACACATACATATTTGTGAAATTAGATAATGATCTATTTTGTACGGTTGTTACAGCCTGTGCATGTATGATCTGTAGACCTAATCACTTTTATATGTAAGCACACAGTTCTGTTTAGAGTGATATGTAAAACGGGGTTTTATGTTTGAATGTGATTGGTTGTGGAAGGGTGGGTAACTGTGGGCAGAGATGTGGTCTAGGTCTTGTCTTCGGGTTGTGTTCTGTTTGATTTGGTATGTTGGAGCCACTCTAAAATGAGATCCATCCATCCATTTTCAACAGCAGTCATGGAGGGGTGCTGGAGCCTATCCCAGTTGACTTCGGGCGTACGACGTACTACACCCAGAACTTGCCGCCAGTCAGTCGCAGGGCAGATATAGAGACAAACAACCATTCACTCCCACATTCACACCGTCACCGAGTGAGGACCGACCCCACGCTGCCGGCACACAAGCCAGGCGAGTGTACCATTACACCATCAGTGACTCTAAAATGAGATCATAAATAATATCTTTGACAAAAAATAGATTTATGTGGTCTTCTTTGGCTTCAATCAAGGTTGGTGAGGATGAAGGGCAAAATCAGGGCCATATTGGCCGACTCCTCTCAGCCTCTCTACGATGAGCTGTGACAGATGGGAAGCTCGTTTAGTCAGCGGATCATTCCACCCAGGAGCAGAACTGAGCGCTCGAGGGGCTCCTCTGTGCCCGCTGCCATCACACTGCACAGCAGCAGTGTGGGCCACAACTCGTCACAACAGTCCCCTCTCCACCAATATCAATCAACAGGCTCATCACAGAGGCAACGACAGTTATATATCACAGAGGCATGGCATAAAACTGTTTCTTTTTAGCATGCATCTTAAATTCCATGTATTTGTTGTTATGAATCTGCTGTGACACCTGAACTCTGGGGGATCATTGAAGGATTATCTTAAATACTGAGTGGACCTTGGGTAGGAAAATGTAAATGCCAACGACAGATCCTCGGCAGGTCAGCAAGAGCGACTGTGTGTGTGTGTGTGTGTGTGTGTGTGTGTGTGTGCGTGTGTGTGTGTGTGTGTGTGTGTGTGTGTTTCTGCGTGTACACGAGGTTCACAGGTGTCTCAAGATGGGTTTGAATATATTTCCATTTTTAAGCGTGATCTGTATGCATGAATACATTTGAACTGGAAAACAAGCACCAGCGTCCTGTGCAAGATGAAATGGTTCATGTGCTATGCAGGGGTGAATTACAAACACATACAGTATTCAGATGAAACAAACACTGACAAAATTTCTGTTTTCAAGCTCCAAAGGAACACACAGTGTTGATCCTGCAACCTTTGCTTTGATGGTGAGCTACGTGGAGGAATGTCTCACGTCTTTATTACTTTTCTTTTATTATAGATTTTAGGTGATATTGTTTTCATTAGTTTTCATCGAGTCCTTGCAAATTGTGCAAACTGGTTTCCCAATAAATATCACAAGAAATAATAGAAATAAAACACAAAATTTAAGCGGCTTAATGGATGTAACTGCAGCCTTGTCTGAAGTGAAAAGGTCCGTTTAGATTCATTGATGAGGGAAGGATCGTACAAAGCGGTGGGGATGATGTGATAAACCTCAATAAAAACAGAATACAATGATTTGCAAATCATGTTCAACCGAGATTGAAGTGAATACAGTACACTACAAAGACAAGATCTTTAACGTTTAAACTGCTAAATGTTTTAGCAATCATTAATTGAAAATTGTTTGGCTGTATCTCAAAATGAGAGTCAAAAAGGCTTCTCTTGGCCAGATGTAAAAAGGACACTCAGCCCACAAATCTTTCCAAGAAAATCATGACTTCCTAAAGTGGCAAATGCCATCATTTGGTCAGGCAATATAGTGTACATTACATGGTCATTCCGGGACTTTGTTATCAGAGGTGTGGCAGAAAAGACGACAACACTGACTACTTTATGTCAATGATAACATTGTAATTGTAACATAAAAATCAAATACTGTATTCTTTTTTTTTTAAATGGTCACTTTAAAAAAAACAATGTAAAAGGCACGCAGTAACTTTAAAATAAATATCCACTGGAAAAAAAATGAACACATGTAGAAGTTTGAACATTAAATATTGTGTTTTTACACTCAAAGGTGAGGAACAAGAATGATGTCTTGAGAAAAGCTCACGGCGAATGCCGGTTGAGGTCTGACGAAAAAGCGAGGGCACGTGTCAATTGTCAGCATGTCAATCATACAGTTTGTTAAAAGGGTCTTGGTTTGCTGCATTGCCTCATTCGGGTGCCCTTTGTACGGATGGTGGTTAGAGGTTGAGTTTTTAATTAGGTGAGCAAGGACAAGAGACTGCCAAGGAAGACAGGAAAGGTGAGGAGAGGCCAAGCAACTGCAGGGTAATAGACCTGGTTAACTCCACAGGGGAACTGAACTGCACACTTTTATTTGAAAAAGAAGGTAACTAGCCAATGGACTAAATGATATCTACTGTATCGATGTATCTATCACACAGACTAGTCGCTTTATGCCTCCACAATGACATTTAGAGTGCAACTTCGACGAGTCGCTAATTACGTTTTTGGCTGGACGAGGAGACAGAGCAAGTTAAGAATGAGCTTATTGAAAGATGCCTGTCATCTTAGCTGATCTCAACTGTCGACCATCGCTGAATGTGCCGCTGTGGTTCGTCTGGGGGAACTAATAAAGCGATAAAGGCAGGTTGATCAGGATTTTGAGCAATATTTAATCCTGCACTATACCGGGTGGAATGAGATTGGGGAATCCGAATTACTGGGCCGGACACAAAGAGGTTGGTGATTATTTGCACCACAAGTTCCCACCAAGCAAAACACACTGACCTGGTGGTTGACCTGTTTACTCAAGTTGTGCCCACGTTACCTGTCTGTCCAAGCAGCAAACACACGAAGTAAGGGTTTTTGGGGTTTTTTTTCTGTCTGGCTGGCAATGCTATCACACAACAGCAGGTGAGTCCACGCAAAGTTTTTACTAATGTCAACAACTGCCAAAATGTCTAAAACTACAGTTTAAGAAATCATTTCAATGAATGAAATAATACAAAAATAAAAAAAAAATAAAAAAAAGGAACTACATCTTCAATTCATAAAACTAACTACAATTCACAATTGTAGTGAAAATGTCTTTCTTTTTCATCTTTTAATATCACACATGAGCTTGCAAGGCTCATTTTCAATGTATTTATTTTGGTATTGCTGTATGTCGGTTGAGAATTGTAGTTTACATTATTACACAATAATTAGCGACCCTTTTTTGAATTAAATCTTGCATTCGACAAACACCTGATATAAAAAAAAAGATGAAAACTAATACTAAAACAAATAAAAAGTGAAATAACATGCATTGTCGAAACAATAAAAACTAACAAATGCGCGCTGAAAACTAATTAAAACTCACTGAATTTTAAAAAATGAAGCCAAAACAAAGTGCAAACTAAAATGAAAAAAGAAATCCCCAAACTTTTATAACCCTGAGCCCACATAGGTGATCTTTTAAGATTTATGTTCTGCGTGAATTCAGTGTAAAAGATGTCCATTGTCAGTGAATATACATTATTATAACGCATTACCTCAGCCTGTGATTTTTTTTAAAAATTATTGTATCACTGACATCATCAGTGATTAGTTGACGTCAACTTAACTCAGTGTTGACTTAAAAAAAAATGTACGGTAATTAAAAGTTGTTCAACCCAATTTGACATGATAAGGTGAATACAAGACGAAAGGACAGCTTCAGCTTCTACTGTTTGGTGTATTATTTGAATCAGCTTTCACGACAGTATTAAGAAACACATTCAGAAAACAAGGAGTTGGAAGGCTCAAGCGTGATGCGGCATGAATTAAAATCCTTTCATCAACAGAGGATTGCAATATTTTGTTTTTTCATAGTGATGAGCAATAGTCATGGTCGAGTGGGTCTTAAATACTTACTTGGACATGTTCCGACCGGAGTGTTGCCAGGGAAACAAGACATTGCCGACAGCTGCCCGGTAGCTGTAGACCCCCAAAAGTCCAAGTGCGAGGGCAACCTTGGACACCAACGAGCATCGTCTTTGAATCAGGAAGTAGATGAAAACCAAACAGAGAGCAGACAGCAGGGACAGGACCACTTTGTGTTCCGAGCTGCAAAGAGAAAAAAAACCCCAAAAAGATTACAACATGCAGTACTTTTGCAACTTCCAAACTTATAATTCTTTTATTTTAAAAAATATTTAAAAATAAATTATGTAACCACAATTTAGAAAGTGAGAGGAACACCATTTTGATTTAATTACATTGAATTACAAAGATTCAACTTCAAGGTTGAATAATGAACATAGCTCCTGAGTTTCAAGGATGAAAACGGCCAATGTTATTTTTCACTTTAAACTCGATGCGCAGATCACAGATGGTTCACTGAATTTAACAAGATTTTGATAATGGTGCACTTTGATATATCGAGAGATGCCGTTGAAAAGAAGTCTTGTTTTTGTGGTTGATCAGCTGAGATAGCAGAGGAGATGAGTACTGAGAGGCAAACTGCAGGCGAGCATCTCATCATCTGAGCAACAGGCAGTGCGGTTAGGAGAAAGGATAGACAGCGAAAAGGTCAGAATCTATATCTTCATTCGACAATGGCATGTGTGCATGTTAAAGAAGGAGTCACAATGCACTGAGCTGTTGAATGAATATTAATAAGTCTTCAGCGTAAAAAACTATTCGAAACAAGGATTTTTTTACTAACAGGAATCTGAGATGATCTATTTTAATATTTGTAATTAAAAAAAAACTTTGTGTAGGATAGATAAACACAAAATTTGTGTTGTATTATGTGTTAAAGGGGAAGTCAGCTCAAAAGCTGACTTGACAATAATGATTTAAACGGCCCCACTAGTCTAAGGACGGTATTGTGATTAATACTGCGTTTGTGTACTATGAATTCAGCAGTAAAATCTACTAAATGTAATTTGATCCAAAACAGGAAGCGGCCATTTTGCCACTTGCTGTCAACTCAAATGACATTGCAGTGGCCCAGGGCTGAGGTACCGGCCAATCACGGCTCACCCGTTTTCTCGGTTTGGTCATGTGACATTTGCAAGCTGACCCATGATTGGTTGTTCCCTGACCCCTGAGATGTCATTTTCATGTCGACAGCGAGTGTCAAAATGACTGCCCCCCTGAGATGGTTCAAGACGGGTGGATTTTGCTGCTTAGCTCATATTTCACAACTGCAATATTAATCCGTGGCATATCATATTTAACTATTGGTCAGTCCCACCTGTTCAGCCAATGGCCCAGATCAGGAAGATGAGCCCACTGTACGCCTGTCTGGTTGAGGGAGCGCAGCAGTCGACAGCAGAGCAGAACAAAGGGGGGCGTGGCTAAAGCTAGCCACTTCTCAGAGTAGATCTCCTCCTTCGCGTTTTCTTTATAAGGAAGGACAAACTCTTCCTCGTCACCTCCTGCGTCGCCCTTCTCTCGGAAGTACTTGCGACACACGTCCTGGAAGACTGCAAGGCAGAGGGTGCTGAGCAGGAAGTACCAGGTTTGATGCTCCTCCTCTACGAAGCTGCTGGCCGCCAAACTGAGAGTGTGGCCGGCCGTGCCCGCCAGCAGCAACACGTCCAATTCTGACAGAGACCACTCACTGCTACTGATCTTCAATGATGACTGTGAAAAGCAAGATGAATAACTGTGTGACAGTGAAAACAAACAATCAAGTCCAGATATCAGAGTCGCAGAGACAAACAAAGAACTTATTTGATATCCACCACGATAAAGTTCTTTTCCCTGGATTGTCATTAGACTTTTTGCTGTATCAGTATCTTTACAAGTTTGCGGGGGGAATTGAGATGTAACCTTTAAAGATAGACTATAATCAGCAGAGGGATGGAGCAATAAAAAGATTTATTCGACCAAATGAAAGAACAGAGCTATAGTTTTACAATAACTATACCCAGAACCAATTAACTGACAAGTAAGCTAGTCCTATGTGCCCACCCAGTAGCACTGATGAAAAACTGTGGCCCCCTCCAGCATTTAAGTGGCCAATGCCTGCTCCATTTAAATAAAAAGCAGGCTCATATATTTAAGATTTTTTTTTTTTAGCTAATGTTTTCAGTCAAAGACTTAAACAAGTAAACTAGTAAGGACTAAATAAAGTAAACAGTGTTGTTTGTTAACCATACTGAGGCCTCCGAAAAAATAGCGTAGTTCCAAAAAAAATCATAACGAGTGCACTATGTTTTGCCATAGAAAGGGAGCAATTTTGGCAACAGACAAATATATACAGTATTAAACTGAATGGTATATGCTTTATTTGACTTTCAACCTTTTTTTGGTTTTAAAAGTAGGTTCCAGAGTTCCAAACACTGAGAGCACAACTCACCTTCCCAGGTAACTTTAGTCCGAGGGGGAGTCGTCTTGTTGTCAGAGAGAGCAACAAACAAGACATGGCTGAAGTGAGGGCGATGGCAGCAAACACAAGACCCCAGGAGAGGCTGCAGAAGTAGCAGGAGCTCTCAGCAGAGGTGCACACCAGAACATGCACAGACGCAAGCAGCAAGCACAAGAGGTAAAAGGGCAACGAGAGCAGCGCCGACATGACTGGAAGGTCCACGGCCGCCGAGCTGCTCAAGGCTTCAGGCATTGCCAACAGTAAGACCAACAGCAGCTTGGAGAGAACAGAGTAAAACGTTGATATTAGTACTAACGAATGGTGGAGGTGGTACAGTAATTGCATTTGAATAAATGTCAATATAAAGTTGTCTTCATCATGAAGGTACAGTGTTTTGTGTTTTTATGTGTTACAGCAAGAAACTATTTAACGCTTATTTTAAGAATCCTAAAATGGTGATTAAAAATTGCCTGTGCACCTAAATTCATGTTTTAGGATGGCGACAGTTTGACCCTCAAATCTCAATTCCCATGATTTCCGATAAAATAATTTTTTAACAGTACAAGATGTGTGATAAGTAACTCCCCATTTTAAGGTACTTAATTTTTATTCCTAATATTGAAATATTTTCCTTAAATTTGGGGTGTATGTTCCATAATGTACGGGAGTTAAATGAATGCTCTTGTTTTCTTTTCGGACTGATTACTCAATTTAAAATGTGGACGTTTTTGGAATGATGTGAACATGAACTCCGAGGGAAATCGGCTGATTCAGTTCACAGACGGCTTGAGAACCTGGTGAAAGTTTCATCGATAACTCCATTTACACTTACGATTTTCATTGACTATAATTATTTTTTGATTGTTTTCATTTATACTACATTTATATACATGACAGTGCTATTTTTCTTTCATGAAAGAATGTAACCCAAAAAAATATGTGTGTTTTTTTAAGGGGTTCTGGAAATGTATTCCAGTAAGCCTGGATGGCTTGTGTACATCTTCAGAGCTTTCGAGCAACCAATGACATTCACTTACACAATGCCATTTGAGAAAAAAAATGGTTGCTTACCTGAAATACGAAGACCATTCCGGCAATCATGGAGTACAGGTCGTACTTTCCCAGCTGCTTGCTGAGGGCTGAGCTCATGGAAGACAGGGCCTCCAAGTACTGCTTGAGGACCTTCTTGCCCATGTTGGTCAAGACCTCTGATGCGTTTCCCTCCAGGTAGCGCTTCATCCAGCTCCCGTGTGCCTTCTCTGCCACACGGTATTGTTCAAATCCTGCCTCTAGATCAGGAAGAGGGCAGCAATATTTTATACAACTGTTTTGAAGCTGAGGAAAGTTTGGCGACATCCCCCTGATCGAAATCAATTCAGGCCGTGTGTAAAATTCATCACTGCATGTAGATATATAAAAAAAACATTTATCACGAAATGAAATTCACAGGAATATATCTAACTGATGAAGGGATAAACTTGTTTTGAAAGAAAGATTAACACGATTGCTTTTATGTAATTTGTGTTGAACAGCAATGGGCACCAATTGATACATTAAGCTGTCGTATCTACAGGCTCAGGATTTACATGATCACTTAAAAAAAGAAAGAAAAGATCTCATAAGAGAATTGTTTTTTTCAGTAGGGCTTTTGCAGCGCATTCAAGGGCACAGTAATGCAGTAATTTAATTTGACAGGTACATTAATGAATACTCTTGTTCTCCTTAAAAAATATTTAGCAGTACTGTATAACACACGGCATCTCAGCAGCAAAGGTGGTGATGAATGGTGACTGGGGATTTGCCAGACAGAGGGGTTGCGAGCAATATTAGAACCTGGAGCCACAGGAATGAATCATACAATATCGATGTGCCTGTCTCATGTTTGATCAGCGAGTAATTAATGGCCCTTCAAAGATGCCGCAAGTTAGAAGCACAAGAAAAAACCCAATAAGAACCTGGAAAGGATCATTATTATTATTTTTACTTCATTGTTCCTAATCTATTCATTTCTACATCTCTCAGCCTCACGGGCTCAGGTAACTGAAAACTATCTCAGCTATTGAAGCACTGGACGAGAGGCGGGCCATGGTCCATCAAAAAACAACCATTCACACTCACAACTATGCACGACACTTTAGCGTTTTGGCATGTGGGAGGAAGTTTGAGTACCGGGAGAAAATTTTCCAAACCTGGATCCCCGGAATGTAAGGCAGACATGCTAACCATTGCACAACCGCACTGCCTTGCCAAACTGCATTTTGAGAAATGTTCCATTATTTAATAAGGTTTTGTTTCAACCCAGTCAGTCAAAGTTGACCCTACCAAGCTACTTAATAAACATCTCTGGTGCATTTCCCAACAGTGACAGCTCAAGATTCAACGTTATCTGCCTGGGAAAGTGAGAAAAAAAAAACTATATATGAATCAACATATTCAGTAGTAGCTCAGATGAAATTATTTCCCTCTCATCTCATCACCATAGAAACCTGAGACTAAAATAGAGTAAAAATGTCAGTCTGTCTCTCCCTGTCCACCAAATAGGAAGAAGGTGCAAACTCCAAACAGGAAGGGCAAGGGGGAGAATGTCTCCCCTCTTTTTAAATCATGGTAATAATCATCAGATCTGGTTATCGGGTTGACATTGTTGATCACCATTTAATTTATTTTTTTACCTTTTGTATCATATCATTATATCTGTGAGTGCGAAGGACGACAATCGAGATAGACAGAGTAGTCGGTCCAGATGCGCGAGAGAACGGCGTTAAGGTAGTGAACGCATGGTCCCGAGCTCTGCTTTGATCAATTCGTGATAACGTGCGCATAACAAGGTGCTTGATTTATTTGTTCTCGAACAACAGCACGTCTACTTTTTTGCTGAGCGCCTCCAGTTCCCCTTTAGGGCACATTAAAGGGGAACTGGAGTAGAATACAAAAATGTGCCGCTATAACATCTGAATGGGTCTTGTATTCTGACAAGATGAAATAACCTAATTCAAAGGGCATGTTATGGTATTGTGATATCTATCTATACAGTGTGTGTGTGTGTGTATATATATATCTATATATATATATATATATATATATAGATATATATATATATATATATATATATGGCATAGCATTAAAAAATAAATCTACTCAAAGCTAAAAAACCCACGAAGAATTCATTAAAACTATCAGAATTAAAAGAAAAAAACTAAACTCCAAACTAAATGAAAATTAACTAAAATTAAAAATCTGAAACTATTATTACCCTGGGACTAGGACTGCAATTCCTTTTTTTTCTTCCTTTTCTTCAAGGAGCTATCACTTCAAATCTTTTTCACAAAACCTTTGGTGAAATTTTGAAACATTTCTTTAACATAATAATGAGTTTTTAAAATATCTCAATGAAAGAAATGCAAAACCTCAAGTCCACTGTATGCTGCTGCTGCCTAGTGGAGCATTAAATAATTATTTTGCCCCCAAAATGAATGGACCTTTGTTCCACGCCTCATTGCTTCGCATTCGAGCTCAGCCTTTCCAGTTTTCCCTCCCAGTGGAATTTGTCACATCCACAGAGGCTGACCAGCTGAAGCACGGATCAAAGGTCGGGGGAGCGTTCAGGCCGATCTTTGGCAAACACACATAAACAGACGCAAGGATGCACGTCCTCAGAGATGCACAAGCAACATTACAAGAAAAATAGTGTCTCATCCCGCGTCGCATCCGCGCCTGCTTCTCACGACCTGACTGCTGCTTTGACGCGGCATGTGGGCGTCCCTCAGGGAAGACTCCTATACCCGCAGACATTCTTCATGCGTAAGCTTATTTACCTCACTTCAACTCCACTTGGGCTAAAAGGAAATACTTTTCATTCAGATTACTCACATTGTTGTTGTTGTTCTTTGGGAGGGGGGGCACAAATGTGAGAAATTAGCCAGAGAAGACAATTAATCCTTTATACGGCAGTATTGTTATTTTACACACATTTTTCAAAGGTAAACATGAGATAGTAAGAACCAAAATTTGAGAGTGAATGATTTTATTTCAGATTAATTGCATACTGTTTTAATATTCAATTTGGAGGCATTAAAGTACTGCTTAAATTATAAACTGTTTATGAAGATGGGCACAATGATAGCGTAATTGCGACTGTGTCAGCCTCACGCATCTGTGTGAGTGTGTGTGCCAAGTTGTTCCAATGTATCAACAGCACTGTGCAGGGGGACTGCTGCATCTCTTTTTCTGATCAAAAGAAATTTGAATAACAAGCGTGCTGTGCTGTACACACACCACTCTGGGTGGTAAACACAGACACACACACACACACACACACACACACACACACACACACACACACACACACACACACACACACACACACACGCACACACACACACACA